ATGTTGCTTTGGACCATTGTGGCAGAGCATAGACATCATGGTTAGTAGCCTTTGACTGTCTAAGACTCTTGAGCAGGGTTGGGGAAACTCAAACCAGGGTAAGGCCGCTGACTGCCTCAGGTGGCAGAATCCACTTGGGCAGCAGATTCCGACGCCTATTTTTCTTCCCCCTTGTTCCTGATGTAGATCTTCTGACACCCTTTCTTCCTTGGTTGGGGGGGTTCCATTTTGGGATCTGCCTCGGGTGACAAAATGTATTGGGCCAGTCCTGAGCCAGGGGGTGGCCCTTGAAATTTAGCAGGCTATGCCCCCTCCCAGGCCACCCTTCTTACTGGCCTGCTTTGAACCCTCCTCAAGTGCATTTGCCTTGCTGGAATGTGTCCTTGAACTGTCATAGTGCCTCTTGCTTGCCTGCATGGAGAGTGAAGAGTTTAGTTTGGGGTGTGTGTGTAAAGAATCCTGTGGTTTTTGCGTGGCAAGATTGTAGCCTATTGTATAAAGGTAAGAGTCGCCCACTTTTGACTTCTATTCCACCTACTACTGGCATGTGCCCCCGCCCCCATGAGGGAATGCAACCCTTGAGTGGAACATAGTTCCCCACCCCTACTCTAGAGAGCCACTGTGTGTCAGAAGAAACAATATTGGGTTAGATTGACAGTCTTACCTCGTATAAGGTAGTTTCTTGTGTTCCTATCTTCCAAGCAGCTTTACTCTTTCAAAAGGCACTGCCAGGCTACAGTTACACACTCCTGTAGTTTGATCTGAGTTGAGTGAAACCAGTGGGCTTAACTTCCAAAGAAACATATATGGGATAAAGATCCATTATGCATGCACTTCAGTGAATATGACCAATTTCTTGATAGGCTGTGGACTTAGAATGTACAATCTTCTTGGCCATCACCAGCCAAGTGTTAAAATATTCCGGCCAAGAAGCACGCATGCTTAGGTGTTCCAAATTCAGCCCACAATACTGCATCTAGGGACCAGATGCCTCACCTGCAGAAAGGAAACTGGACTGTTCAAGCTGCAAATTATCAAGTGAGGCTTGACACTTGAGTATTGTGTTAACCTCTGTGGTGCTTGGGCACCTTCTGTTGTAAAACTTTTTAGAATCAGCTCCAGAAAAAGTGGGAGCTTCGATGTTACACATTTGCTGAACTCTCAGAGAGAACCACCAAAACCTATTAAGAAAGTTATCCGTTATTAGGGTTAAGAATGGCAATATATCAGTGTGTTTCAGAAAATAACAGCTATTTGATGAAAACAACTGTTAACTTTGCAAAACACCCTTGGGTAGTCCATTATCTGCGTGAGTTCTCTTTTCGTATTTTGCAGGAAGTGGTGGAAAGTTGATTTGAGTCTCCTCACACATTTGCTCTTCACCACTTCTTGTGACATGCCCAGCAAGCAAAAAACACTACGCCGAGGAAGTAATCCATTATAGCCTGGCTGAGTCTGCCCTTACATTTTAACACATTTTGGGTGCTTTAGTCATGCTTAAGGAAGTGGTCTAGGCTTCTCTTGCCAAACAGAATATAAGTTCAGATTGTTCACAAGTGGAGAAACTTGTAGCATATAATGAGCAGTGGGGCTTCCTTCTGGCTTTGTCTCAGGCAACATGGTTCACATGTATACATGTTGTATTTATAGTCAAATTATCCCTTGGGTATATTAAATACCATAAGAGGGACTGAAAGAAATAAGCCAGAGACCCATTTTCTCAAAGTTCTAGTGAGAAAGGCCAAACTATTATAATGAGGTATTTTAAGTTGTTTTTATTAGCCTTAAATAATATAGACTTACTCTACATAAAGGACTGTTTGTTGCTCTTTAGTCTTTCTCAGAATTTGAGATATGTAGAGTTGGTATTGACCAGCCCAAAATAATTTCAAGAACTGGGAAGTTAACTAGGAACTGACTGAGACGTTTGAGTTCCTCCCGCTTAAAGATACCTTAATAGGCATCCTATTCAACCAATGATGTAAGAAATTCCCGTACCATTTATTATGGATAAAAACAATAGGGATCTATAGAAATGTAACTGCAGTTTTATCAAAATGGTAGAATATCAGTCTTATAGACAGCTTACACACTTTTTTAATGTGAACATTTAAAAAACCTGAAACACCATTATAATCATAATCAGATTTTGCTGCAAGAGAACGGGGATCATTTTTCAAAATACCAAATTGTGTTTTTCTTCCTTTTGTTCTCTCAATGCAATCAAGGTGTCTCTTTGATTTTGGGCATTGTGGCTTTGAACGAAAGAGTAGTCTCTAACATTTATTTATTTTTTAAATGTACAGAATGTTTTCTTCACTATTCAGGAAAGTTTTTGAAACTCTACTCTCATATGTGCTGTAAACATAGGCTGTAAAGCAGCAGCTTCTCTGCTGGTGGCGGAGGTGATGGGGTGCCCTTGGGGGCTTCTGCTGCCTGAGGCAGTTACTTCACCCTGCTTCATGGGTGGGCCAGCTCTGAGTGACCCTCGGTGAGGATCTTCCTGAGGCAGCTGTGGCCCCAGAGAAGTAAATGAAACATGGCTAGTTCTTCTCTCCCATTCCTAGCTCCAGAATAACCTGCAGACTGTGCTGGGCCCTGAAATAGTTGCATCAGAACGTTTTGCCCTAGGGCAGCAGTTCTCAATCTGTGGTTCCCCAGATGTTGTTGGACTACAACTCCCATCATCCCTGAGCTCTGGCCTTGCTAGCTAGGGTTGATGGGAGTTGTAGTTCAACAACAACTGGGGACCCACAGGTTGAGAAAGGCTGCCCTAGGGGATGGTCAGAAGCAGAGAGGAACCACTCGAGAGAAATGGCCAGGCAAGAAGGCTTACCAGGGTTGGCTGCTAACTGCAGCTCCTGTGAGAACCTATAAGGAAGGTACAAGGTAAACCATTTCCCAAGGAACTGTACGCATTTGGGCTAAGGATAAAATAACATGGGGCTTTTCCAGACAATGGTGTAATTGCTCAATAAATGTGCTGTTGTAAGCCACCTGTTGTAGAAAGACCAAAAATCACCCACTCTTTCATATAATTCATATTTTATTGTTGATTTTTTAAAAAAACAACATGAGCTTGCATACCTATTGTGATGGTCAGCACTGTGCAGAAGTGGCAGTTTGAGTAACACAGGCACTTCCTGCCTTAACACAGAAATCCTCTGTCCTCAGGATGAACTACCCCCCCTGCTTTTTTGCATTTCCTTACTTTAAAACATATTGAAGAGCCGTGCACTCCCCCTCTGTACTGCTCAAGACCAAGAGTGCCTATGAAGCTGTTTAAAAACCAAAAATAGAAAGTGCCGAACAACAGCAAGGATTGAGGCCGTGAGGAGGAAGTAATCTGTTCCAGTTAAACAAAGCATCCCCTTCCTACAAAGCAAGGCAGGAGGTTAGGGCCCTTCTCTTATGGAATAAGCTATTGTTTCAGCTGCTGGCCAGTCTTTCTTTGTTAGGGAAATGCTTGTTAAAAGCAATGGGTGATTGGCTAGTATTTCCTTAATGGGAGGGGCTAATGGTTAGAAAAAGGCCTCTTGAAATCTGGAGAGTGTTAGCAATCAGGTTTGGGAGGTGGAGACCCTGCCCATGCAAGGAAAGGGGCTGGTCTAAGGTACCTGTGAAGAGGAAGATGTAGGGAGAGAAATAGGAGATGGCTGAAGGAATCTTGAGAGGAACCTCTGACCACTTGGGAAACAGGAAGAATACAACAGTATGTAGCTCAGTGTAAGCTGCCGGGACATTTAATCGGTGTAGGATAAAGCTTTGAAGTCCTACTAATGCTAGTGGTGGGCAGTCCCTAGAGTTCTGGTGAGATGCTAGTGGAGCTCTAACCATTGCAATGCCTCATTTTTTCTCCAAAACACTGAAGTCAGCAAATAAAACTCTTTGGAACTTGTCAACATTTTTGGTACTTCCCCTGTCTCAGTGAAAAATGTCACTGCACAAGCAACTCTTTTGACGTTTCAGCACTTTCACTTCCAGTCAAAGGGAGAACCAAGAAATGAAGATGCAATAAAATAAACTTCAAAGCACAGCAGTGTCTCCACGTAGTTCAGGAGGGGGACAGTCCAATGAGCATAGAGAGGTGGATCCCTCCCATAATTTTATAATAAAAAATCATAATACATAATATGGAAATATAACATGAGAATATAAGCAAGGAAGTCACAACAACCTTGTTGAAAATTACATTAGAGTGGTACCTTGGGTTACATACGTTTCAGGTTACATACACTTCAGGTTATAGACTCTGCTAATCCAGAAATAGTACCTCGGGTTAAGAACTTTGCTTCAGGATGAGAACAGAAATCGTGCTCCGGCGGCGCGGCAGCCGCGGGAGGCTCCATTAGCTAAAGTGGTGCTTCAGGTTAAGAACAGTTTCAGGTTAAGAACGGACCTCCAGAACAAATTAAGTACTTAACCCGAGGTACCACTGTATTATAGTTAATTAAAGCATCAATTCTACTGAAAGACTGGCTCCATTGGGCTTCTACTCTTCCTGGGCTGCTTCCATTCCAGCTGGTCAATATAAGAACTATTTAACTTTAAGAATTGATGCCTGAGGCTGCTTTCTTTCTCACCCTCTTCCTTCCCCACCCCCTTTTCCTTTTGTGTCATGCCTTTATAGATTGTAAGCCTGTGGGCAGGGTCTGTTTCATTTCAGATGGCTGTTTGTAATCTGTTTTTGGAGCCATTTTGGATGCAGAGTCCAGAATCACCATCATAATCTTTGGAGGCTATCCTCCAGGTGTCCCCCCTCTCTTCTTAAGTGAGGCAGATGACAAGAGAGCCTGCTTGGTTATGGTGCTCTGTCTATGTGATGCTCTCCCTAGCATTAAAAACAACAACACCCCTCAAGGTGGCTTGCAACACATATTTATTTTGGGTGTTTGTATCCCCATCCTTCAACAGATTTGCAGACTTCCTTACAAAATATTATTTAAATAAAACATAACGAGAGAATAAACAGTGTAAAATTTAAAAAGACAACAGCAGTTAAAAATATATCCAAAGGATCAATAAAACAATAATCACTTGCCAAAAAAGGAGACAGTTTCAGGAAACACCAAAGAAACATGGGAGAGTGAGTGAGTGTGGGCATCCTTAGGCAAGGCATTCCAAAGCCCAGGCACAACCTCAGAGAAAACCTTTTCCTTTGCCCAAACTAAAATCATCTCACATATCTGCGGGACACAAAGTACAGCCTGGCTAGTTTAATAAGCAAGCAGAGGTGATGGGTTTCCAGGTATCCCAGTCTTAAGCCATTTAGGGTTTTAGATAATAGTAATTGCAGTATTTAAAAAAAAATGTTTGATTTGCAAACTGCATAACAAAATATGGATAAGTAGGAAATTTGAAGAATTGGTGTGTTTTGGTTCTCGTATTGTTTTAGAAAGTGTGAATTTTATAGATTTAACTTTAAAGTGTGCACTGAATCAATTTTTTTCTCCATCCCTATCTGTAACTGTAGTCAAGTCTGCTTTCTCTAGAAACAAGTGCAGATGGCAAACCAATCTAGGTTGGGTAAAAGTCCTGCTGCTACCTGGATATACAGGAGCAAAACCAGATCCAGGAGAACCCTCAAGCTGTGAACCTTAAGTTTTCAAGAGGAGTGCAGCCCCATCTGACAAAGATCGACAGATCTGCTAACCAGGAGCATCTCTGTCTGCTCTTGCCTTATCTTGTTTGGATTAAACATCAGTTTGCCTGCCTCCAGTCTGTTACAGACCCTCAGGCACTGATTCCGTACAGGTGTCCTCCCACTTATGCGGGGCTTATGTTTCGGGCCCCCTCACGCATTTGTGAAATCGCATAAAGTAGGGAGCACCCTCTAAAAAGCCTCTGAATGCCTATCTTTCCCTACACTCCAGCTCTCTCTCTCCAATCCAGACCAAAATATCTAGAGTTGAAGCTCTGGAGGATGCGCAGGAAAGCAGCAGCTGCTGCTGTGCTACCCCGCACACCAGCTGTTAGGCAGGAAGGCTGAGCAGCCTAAACAAAGCCCCACTGTGGCCTCAGGTCTCTTTGGGGCTTCCTCTGCCCTCACTGACATCCTCCTTGGGCTCCAGGGAGGATTTCCTTGTGAGCCACAATAACTCTCCAGCTCTCTCCTGCCATTTCATGGTATGATTCTATTTATTTCCTGGCGCTGTGCATATATGTGCGAGAGTAGAATGCATGAAAGTGGTAGGGCTGGGCGATGTTAGGTTTTCAACATCACGGTGTATCACCAGCCAAACATAGCTGTTTAGCGATATACTGCAATGTTGAAACAAGCTGCACAGGCCCCAGCCTGCGAGGCGGCGGGTGAAACTGCCACAGCTCTCACTGTGGGAGCTGAGGCACTTTCACCCCAGCACCTCACAGGCACCCCAGCTAGCCCCGGCCCGCTACTCTGCTGGGGGGCAGGAAGACTCCTGCCACCCCCACCTCCCTGCTGAGCAAGCCGCGGTGTCCCTGCTGCTTGTGTATGAGCGTTAGGGACATTGGGGCTCCCTTGCGAGACTCAGCGGGCGGGAAAGCTCCCATCCCCCAACTGAGTGAGCCCGCCAACTCCCCAAGATGGAGGGATTCCTGCGACAGAGCCTGACAGTCTCCGTTTACAGGACTCCCTCCACCTTCTCCAACGCAACGGGGCGGGCGAGCAACCTCTTTCTTCTGGAGCTCACCCCTGCCCCCCAGGTAGAGCAAGCCCCCTGTCCCTCCAGCGTGTGGACAAGCTGGAGGGATGGGGGGCCTTCTTTGTGCTCCTCAGCCGGGGGGAGAGAAGGCTTCCCCCCAGCTGAGGGAGCCCTGATCCTTCTGCTCTTGCGCACAAACAGGAGAAGGATCGGTGCTGCCCAGCTGGGGGAGCCCCGATGCCTCTCTAGCTTGCATCCAAAACATGAGAAGAAATGATAGGGGGCAGGGGCACTTTAACCCCACCCTGTGCAAGCTGGTGGCAGGTTGGGGGCTCCATAAAATTGCTTGGCTGAGGCAAGGGCAGCTGCGCACTCCTCAGCTGAGCAGTTTAAATAAGCGGAGGGAGGAACAAGCTGTATCAGCACCTCACTGACGCAGCTTGTTTCTCCCTCTGCAGTGGTGTGAGGGCAGACCATGATGGCAGTTTTACTCATAGGCAAATTGCTGGTGAAACCGCCACCGCTCCTGAGTCCCTCTGCCTCCAGCTCCCAGCTGCAGCGTGTTTCACCCTCAGCACACTGAGCGCTGGTCGCAGAGGGACTCTGGAGGTGGCGGTTTCACCCGTGATATACTGCTGAGTGAAGCCGTCATCGCAGTCTGCCCCTCATATTGATATATTGCCCAGGCTTAATGGGGGATGCCTGTACTTCACTGGCCTTCCGGGAAAAGAGAATTTGAATTTGGTGCCATCAGTGATTTTACACTGAAGTATTTAATACATTTGTTAAATTTATAAACGGCATGTATCCCACAGTAAGTCACCATAAGATAAATGCTTATCTTAAACATATAGTTTAAACATAATTCCTACATATAGAGAGCATAATATTTGCTCTTGGATGCATTGTGGGAGTGAGGATATGACAAATACTTTATCTATGTTTTAATCATGGGATCTCTCAGTTTTAAAATAGACCTGTTAAACAGTTGCAGAATAGAGAAACAGTATTTTAAGCTATCATGTTCTAAATTATTACTAATACAGTGGAACCTCGGCTGTTGAACGTAATCCGTTCTGGAAGACCGTTCGACTTCCGAAACGTTCAACAACCGAAGCGCAATGGGCGGTTGGCCATTTCAGTGGAGAAAATGGAGAAATGTACCTTGGAAGCCATTCGACTTCCGAGGCACGTTCAAAAACAGAAGCAATTACTTCTGGGTTTTTGGCGTTCGAAAACTGAAACGTTCGGCTTCTGAAACACTCGAAAACCGAGGTTCCACTGTACTTCATGTTATACCTGAAGCTCTTTGGCCCTGGAAGCCAGTGCTAAAGTGGTCACTCCTACCATGTATCAGGGCCTACCTGCTCTGTAGATAATAGAGCACTGTTCTCTAGGCCCCACCAGGCACTAGAATAATTTCTATGTAAAACCTCTTCTTTTTATTTAAACTGTGTTAGCAGCCACAATCCTGCTTTTGTGCTGTTCTTTTCAGCTAATTAGGGAGCCTCTGCCAGCTTGTTGTCCATCGCGAGGAGTTCACTCCTTGTTGCTAGGGCACACTGACATGCACCAGTGGTACTAGTTTCAAAGAGATGTGGGGGACTGTAGAGAGAAAGGGCTGATCAAACAAAATGTGTTCTTTTTTCTTTTTTTTAATCCATCCTTTTTGGCAAGGCTGAAAAGTTTGCAATGGAGGAAAAAAACCTGGGTGAATGATAAGGCCTTAAAAAGCTCATTAATTTGAGGCAAGCTAAGCTATGCTGGCGAGTTATCTTATCCTTCCTCAAAATAGACTTTTATCAAAATGGGAGAGCAAGGACCTAAAAGGGTTTGTGCCTTAAAAAAACTAATTAGTTCCTAAGGATTTTGTTGTTGCTAGTAATATTATTGTGTGGGCGGGTGTTTAAAGATAGAGCTGTAGCCTGTTGAAAGTGCTGTCCCTGCACAGCGACCAGCAGTGTCCTAACTTACTTTTTGTCTTATAGCCTGGTCTAGATTCTAGCCACTTCATGAGCCAATGTCATCACATTCTGTTAGCATGTTTCATTATTGCTAATTTCACATGCTCATAAAGCACATGCTAAACCCCCTCAATATTTGGACATCTAACTGCTGTAGTGCTTTTGACTTTCCCCCACCCCCATAACAAGAAGAAAAGGCCCTGTGATTTAAATCTTGTTTAAATCACCACCTTTATAGGGATTCTGCTGTAACCCAATTCTGACACATGGGTCTCTTGTCCTCATGCCAAAACTCCAAGTCCTCAGAGAAAGGGTGGATACCAGTATAAATGACTGAGGACTGCTTCTCAGTCCATTTGGGACTCATTTTTCATGAGTGGTGAATTATTTATTGTCACAGTGAATTGAAAAATGGAGGGAGTGTTAAATTGACCCCTGGGGATTCCACCGTTAACACAAACCACAGCTTTCTCACACACCATAGCTACAAATAATTGTTGCTGATGCATTTTCAGTCCTGTGCTAAACTGGAAATTGGGCCCAAGTCCAATGTCGAGAGCTTGGAGGATTACTTCATTATCTTTTATGAGGAAAGGGAAGAAAATATGGCAAAAGGCAAAAAACTGATATGGTGTGTGGTGAAAGAGCTGCGATTGGTTAGCAGCTGCAGGAAGGCTTGACTTAAAATGGGGCCATGGCTCTAGGGGAAGGTGGGCAATCTATGCCTACGTCATCCATGGCACCATGCCCAAGACAGAGCCAGGTAGCTCAGTGGTTGTGTGGTACAGAAACAAAAACATGAGGTGGTGATAGTAGGCCGCGGAGTTAGCCAAAACTGTAAGTGGTCACCCCAGGACAGTAGCATTTGGGCAGGAACTGGGCAGGCTTCAGCAACTGGGTGAGGAGCTACAGATAGGGGTAGGGAAGTGGAGGGGGGGAACAAGACACAGTGAAGAGAACCCATTGATATTTATGCTGTAGAGCTGTGCCCCCACCATGTCAACAGGGGAAGTAATGCTTCGTTTTCCCATGTGCTGTTTCTATTTCTTAAATTAGACTCCTGGGCTGCTATTAGCTAGGGGAGAAGAAGACAGATAGAATACAAATACCTGACTTTCTTCCTCTTAGTAGGTTTTGGGGGTGATTTAAATTGGGGAAACAGTAGGGTTGCCATATTGCATATTTGGGGCAAATTTGTTGAGCTCTTTTGGCAAAATCTCGAAAATGTTTTGGAGGCATTTTTTGGCAAAGTTGCAAAAAAACCCTACATTTCCTTTTTTTAAAAAATATTTTTTATTAGTTTTCATCAAGAAAAATACATATTGCACTACATTACAACTTTAACAAATTTTCTCATTTTTGGACTTCCTTCAGCCTCTCTGACAGTCATCCAAATTAAACTTTTTAATTACACATTTCCTAAATTTGCTATTGCCTTTTAACTTACCCTTCCACATCTGTTTTTCTTTTTTGCAATATTTCTTAGGTTTTTACAGAGCTTCTTTAAATGCCACTAACGTTATTTCATTATCACTTATACATTCCCAATACTCTACTAACTTTCCCCAGTCCTCGATAAACTTTTGATCTCGTAGATATCTAATCTTCCCTGTCAGTTTATCAAGTTCTGCATAGTCCATCAGCTTCATTCTCCACTCCTCCAATGTTGGTACTTGTTCTTGTTTCCATTTCTGGGCCAGTAATATTCTAGCCGCTGTTACTGCATATTGGAAAAGTTTACAATCCTTTCTATTTATTTCATTTCCTGTAATTCCTAAGAGAAAGGCCTCTGGTTTCTTAACGAATGTATATTTCAACATTTTGTTCAATTCATTGTATATCAATTCCCAGAAGCTCTTCACTTTCTTACATTCCCACCACATATGATAGAAAGTACCATCCTTTTCATTACATTTCCAACATTTCTTGCATGTTTTATACATTTTTGCAAGTTTTACTGGTGTAATATACCATCTGTAAATCATTTTCATAACATTTTCCTTTAATGCAGTACATGCAGTAAATTTAATATTTTTGTTCCATAGTTTAATCAAATCATTAAATTGTATATTATAACCAAAATCTCTGGCCCATTGTATCATTACAGATTTAACTTCTTCATCCTTTGTATGCCATTCCAGCAATATCTTATACATTTTAGATAGAATTTTATATTCATTATTTATTATTTCTATTTGAAATTTTGAATCTTTCTCTACGAATCCATATTCCTTAAGATCTTTTTTAAACATTTCATTTATTTGAAAATAATGCAACCAATCATATACAAACTCTTTTACTTCTTCATATGGTTTCATTTTCCATTTCCCCCCTTCCTTAACAATCAGATTCCCATATGTAATCCAATTCCTTCTCATATTGATTTTTTTAACACTCATAACCTCTAATGTAGACAACCAGTGCGGAGTTTTTGGTTCAAGTAGGCTTTTATACCTATCCCATATTTCTATCAACGATCTTCGGAAAATGTGGTTCTCAAAGCCTTTATGGATTTTCTTCTTTTCAGACCATAAATATGCGTGCCACCCAAATCTATTATCAAATCCTTCTATATCTAACAACTCTGTATTTTCTAATTTTACCCATTCCTTTAACCAACAGAGACATGAAGCTTCATAATATAATTTCAGGTCTGGCAAAGTCGCAAAAAACCCCTACATTTCCAACATGGGTTTCCATACGCCCAGGTTTCCCCGGACAACTTGGATGATTTTTAGAAATTCCGCCCAGATGCTATTTCGGGTGGATGAATCCCAGCTATGTCCAGGAAATTCCAAACGTATGTCAGCCCAAGGAAACAGCATGGTAGGGAAAGCTTTCTCCTAGTACTGCAGCTCTGATCCAACTCCCTTTTCCTGGCAGCTGCTTTTAAGTGAACACCAAGACGTCAGGAGATCAAATCCTGCACCTCACATCTTTGGTCCCAACAAAATAAATGTACTAAAAAGAGTGGGGAGGGGAGGGAGAGTAAGTGAGAAGCTTCTAAAACATGGTCTGTTGTCTGCAGCTCCTGAAGGAAGCCCACACAAAGAGAGGATGCTTTTTAGGGGTTCTGTCTGCTTTTGACAGTTTTTAATGGCACCATCTCCCTCTGAGCAAACAGGAGTTTGGGCCTGGGGCCTGCCATGGACCCCTGATAGGGATCTATTCAGTATTTATCTCTTGACACTCAGCACCCATTCACCTGTAGCTGTACACAAGTCATCAGCAGCAGCCACTACCCTTCTCTTCCTAGTCACGGGGTCCTAGTTCTCAGCTCCTCCAAGAATTTCATTCCATGTTCAAACAAAGCAAGAAGCAAGTTGTGCAGGTGAACTGTAGAGGTGTCTGCCTTCTCATGGAATGCAGAGTGTTATTTACATTCAACAGATGTTTTAAGTTCAGATCTTTAAATAGACAGCCCCTCCTTTTCGTTAATCCCTTCTCCCTTCTCTGCTCCTATAGTTTACCCCAAGCCATAGGAACAAACAGTGTCCCTTGTTGCATGAGGAGGACAGGATTTTCCACATGGCAGCTCAGCCTGAGAACAGTGCCTGAATGTTTGATCTCATTCAGGTATCAGACATCCCTCCGCAGGCTGCTGTAAAGCAATCCGTTCCAGCTGAAGGCTTTTCTCTGAAGGAGGATCAGTTGTTAGAAGAGACAAGCTGAAGCAGGGAGCTGGAAATTCCAGGAGAGAAAAGACGCCACATGCTAAGGATTCTTTACTTCCTTCATGTGTACACACACACACACACACACAGAGAGAGAGAGAGAGAGAGAGAGAGAGAGAGAGAGAGTTATGAAACCCACCAGCTTGCCTACCACACAGTTTATCCATATGATCAGTCACGGACCAATTTTCAAAATTAAGTTCTTAATTTTATGTTACAGCTCATGGCCAAATTACAAGTGGCACTGAGTCACATGTAGTTGCCCCTGCTAGCTTGGAGTTTTCTTTAGGAAAAGCAACCATGGGGGCTGGACAGAAGAACAGAAGAAGGAATTGTGTGTGTGGACGGGGTCATGTTTAAGTTTTCCTTTCTTGTTATTTTCCAGAATGAATGTCAAACCTCCCCCCATCTGCTTTCTCCCTCACAGGAGAAAAGATACGGATTCCTGCCCTTCTCCATCTCTCATTCCCTTGTAAAGTCTAATTCAAACAATCACCGCACTGTGTCTCTTGCCATCCAACAATGGGAGGTGGAAGAGGGAAAATGCACAACACAGCTGATTTCAGTGTAATTCACACTAGAAAAGAGATAGAAAGCAATCAGCGTCAGCTCTGTCTTTCTTAAAATATTTAATCTGGCCTTTAGTATACATGCATTCTGCCTTTTTACGCAAAACAGGTTTGTTTTAGGGTGGTAGGGATAACTGGCATATATGCTTAGACATACAGCAGCTTATTTAAATTAAATTAAATAAAAGTTTGCTGTGTTACTTATATAAAGCATGAGACGTGCATTTTATGGTAATACATTCGCTCCTTGGTTCTCGAAATGAATGTGTTCTGGGAGTCCATTCTAACTGTGATGCTTGGCTCGTGATATACCATGATGTTGAAAACCTAATATCGCCCAGCCCTACTAGAGAGGGCTTCATCACTGGTCCAGATCATGACTGGGTATGCTGCATGCCACTGCAGGCCTGGCCTGCCCAAAGTGAATTGAGTGTAATGACACACTCACCTGTGTACCCTGAGCTCATTCTGGAGCTTTAGTTAGACAACCTGTTTGTCAATAATAATTAGCCTTTACTGTTCTCTGGACTTAAGTGCACACCCTGCCCCCTTGATTATTTTTATTTTTAAGCAGTGATTAGTCTTCCTCTTTGTCTTTCAGTGCAACCACAGTTCAAGTCCCTTAACCAAATATTTAGCAGTCCAGCTTCTGGGCATGTAAGGACCTGCCTGAGATCTTGTTGAGCAGCTGCCAATTAATTAGACAATGCTGGGCTGATCAGACCAATGGCCTGACTCCTATAAGACATCTTCACAAAGTATGCACTGCAGAAGAAGAAGGGAAATGGGAACCGGATTTTGAGAAGTGGATTGCACACGATTGGGAGTAAATGCAGCTGTGTGTACTCTGTGCTTTGCTAGGGGTTTACTTATGGGGTAAAGAAGAAAAGTAAGCTAAACGAGGCTATCAGCAGAAGGAGAAATCTGAGGGATGAAAGAAAAGTGATGCAGTTTAAAGGAAGCATCCAAGGAGTAAGGAAGTTTATGTAAAGCTTGATAGCATTAAAAGAGGGAAATGAATGATACTTTTTAACCCCTATATGCAAACCCCTGGCAAATTGCATAGTACATGCATCTGTATTCATTTACAGTTTCGTTGTATCCTCAGTCTCTCAGGTTACTTTCCCATTCCCTCAATTGCTTCCCTTATTTTCAGTTGTGTGCCTATTTGAAGCTGCTGTATTTAACACTTTATTATGAATTGTTTGCTGCCGTAAGAATTTAAGAATGTGATTGGGAGGCCCTGTGTAAGTAAAGCTTGCTTATTTGTTTATTTATAATAGTGCGGAGGTGTGGGGTTTAATTTTGATGTACAGTTAGTGAATCATACTATTGGTTCCTCTGTCCCTGTATTGTGTGATACTATGAGTGGCAGTTGCTTTTTAGGGTCTTATGTTGGTGCTTCTAAGATTAGTTACCTGAGATCCTTTCAACTGGAGATGTCATGGATAATTCTGAATCAAAAAGTTGTACTTTTAAATACCCGGTAAAGTATAAGAGCTGAGTTAGTAGATTAAACCAAGACTACTAAGAGATATATCCCCAGTGTCTTCTATGATATTCACTGACACAATTTCTGAAGGTCATTTTGCAGATCAAACACAGCTTTATTGTCAACCCTACAGATGCATTGTCACATCCTACAAATGCTGCTCCTCTAAGTGGCTGCCTGGATCATTTGTGTGGTCAGGCCAGGCCCATGGCAAGCATCTCATCTGGCTGTCAAGAAGGATAACTAACCATTGGAGGGTTTTGAGAAGAGCCTTAATATGGCCAAGGCAGCTGGAAAGGTAAACAAAGAAGGGCTGATTCATGCAACCATTTTTAATGTGGTGAAGCCACCCAATTTATTGAGTTTTTTTGGCATGCTGAGCAGTCTTGGTCTGGTATCAGGGGAAGTTCAAGAGCTGCCATTGTTTTATTTACTTTATTCCAAAGATAGAACCTCATGTTTATATGAATACAAGATGCCTTGTAAAGTTCCAAAAATAGTCTCCACTTTCAGCTGAATATATCAAGCCTATTCCCTAGAAAGGGGGCGTAGTCGTATCTGTTTTTCCCGTAATTCCTGGTGTGGCCGGGAAGCTAGAGCAGAAGTTTGACTATGCAGTGATAGTTTTCTTTCTTTATTTTTTGCCCTTTAAAATATTAAAATTAATTTTAATAATTTTATCCCTCATAGATTTTATTGCAAAAATCTATACTGAAGCCTAAACCTGATCTGTATGTCTCTTTTCCTATCTCGTTGTCTTGTCCCCAGCTTATTATAGTGTCTTCCTGTCACTATTTCCCCTAAAGTGTGGTGTCTTTTGAGTTACCTTGTGGTGAAGATCCACAGGGAAGATGCCATCTAAGACTCAGGGAATGATTCAAATACTGTGGTACCTCGGTTTAAGAACAGCCCTGTTTAGGAACTATTCGGTTTAAGAACTCGGCAAAACCGGAAGTAGTGTCCCGGTTTGCAAACTTTATCTCGGTCTAAGAATGGAATCCAAACGGTGGAAGGGCACTGGCGGCAGGAGGCCTCATTAGGGAAAGCGTGCCTCAGTTTAAGAACGGTTTCAGTTTAAGAACAGACTTCTGGAACGGATTAAGTTTGTAAACCGAGATACCACTCTATGTTGGAATGGCAGGTGAGCTGAAAAATGCAGTTTTGCCAAATTTATCAGGCTGTGATTTCTGCAATTTGGATTCTGCCTACAGTCCTAATTCTGTATTTAACCAATTGTTTGTGCATCTTGTCACTTGGAAATGCTCCTGCTATTAGCTGAAGTGAATTGTTTCCTTTAAGCGTTTTACCCTATTTTATATTTGTGTTCTAACTTTAATATAAGCAGCCTTGAGCATATGTTCCTGGACTACAGAGTAGGCTATAAAATGTAAAATAGGTAAATAAGGTCACAGAGCCTGGGCACACAAGATACTAAATTCCATTGAGGTTCAGCCCTCTGCCCCCTGCACACACAATGGCCCACACACAAGTTTCTGGAGCCATGAGCCTGAAAACCACATCTGAAGATGTCTCAGCCCTTTAGTTATATTCCCTTACTTACATATCTCGACTTGTGCAGTACATGGCTTGTGTTTACTTTGTTGCCATGCCTTGTTTTTAACTTTGGCTGATGGTTGATGCAATTCTAAAACAAAACTAAAATCTCAACATGACTTATGAAGTACTATCATCATCTTTTAAAATTCTGGGATTTAGCAGAATTGTTTTTACAGTAATTGACCAAGATGAAAGATGATGCAGATGTGTCATTGCACCTAGGAACTAAACAGCTGACTCTGTAACATAGCAGAGCAAGAACAAAAGATTTTGCATACCAAGGAAGAGGGTTCAGAGCCAAGGAAGCAAGAGGCTTCTCTGCTTTGGAGTCCATTCTTTGAAATGTGTGATTTTTGTCCTTTGCCATGATCCCAAAGTGTGACTCACCCATCACTGTAGGAACTGCAGTCTCAGCTGAAATTCACTTGCTCTTGATTAAGGAATTCAGAAAATGAACTCTTCTCATCTTTTGCAAAACTAATTAGCATTAAATAAGTAAATAAATAAATGTATATGTATACCGCCCTATACCCATAGATCTCAGGGTGGTTTACAACATATCTGTCACATTTTATTTGTACTACTAAGTCTTGATGTAAATAACATCAAAAGTGTTTGAGAAGGGAGCTGATGATTCATATTCCCTACTACTACACAGTTGCTGCTGTAATATAGGTGGCATCTTCTAGGGTTGAGTACATGCTTTGTATGCACAAGATCCCAGATTCAATTCCTGGTACATGGCCAATTAAAAGGGTCTCAGCTAACCGAGCTGGAAATTACTTCTCTTTGTATGGGACCCTGGAGAGCTACTGTAAATAAGAACATATGATACTGGACTAGACGGACAAATAGTGTAACCTGGTATAAGGCAGCATCTATTGTAATAGTGATGTAGTTGCTGGCAGTCTCCATATATAGAATATGGGCAGGATACAAAGAGCTACCTGGGATTGGGCCTACCAGGATGGACTTTTGATTTTCCCTCCTTTTGAACAATAGACCTCCACCATTGCCATATCCCCAAATGGTTTTGAAGTCTCCCTCAGTTTCAAAAGGGGCTTGGCTATGCAGCCATTATTTGAGAAATACAAGTTCAAGGCCCTGGTGAGCATGCAGAACTGGATGCGCAGTTCTTTGGATCCAGGCCAATAACCATAATGTCCAAGCATAAGGATCTTAGATACCTTACGGTATCACTGCTGAAACAGCTGCCCACAAGGGCTGTCAGGACTGCAGGACAACAGCACCCATCCCGCCTGCGGGGCTCTCTCACTTCCCCCACCTCCCGCAAAAGCCCCCAAGAGCCGCACTCCCTTTAAAGAGCTGCACGGAGTGTGTGTTTGGCTCTTGGGGGCTTTTCCCCGAGGAGTGACAGGCTGCCCTTCTTCCTCCTCGGGCAAAAGCCTGAAAGTGCCTCACATGCTCCACGCGGCTTGTGAAAGGGAGTGCTGAGCTGAGCCTGGGATGCATACAGGCTCTGCTCAGCGCTCCCTTTTAATAATATTTTTTTTCTTGAATTCCCCCTCTAAAAACTAGGTGCTCCTTATGGTCAGGTGCGCCTTATGGGGCAAAAAATACGGTATTGTCCCTACAAGGGAAAGCAACTCACACAAATGCATCACACAAGTTTCCCAGTGCAACTAACTGGCTGTGGATCTATTGGCATGTGGGTTCCCAGACTATGCATTACAAACTTGGGGTGGGCTGCTGGAGTGAGGAAAACACAAACCATGTGCACACCATACATTTAAAACACATTTCCCTTCTCCAACAATTATGGGAACTGTAGTTTGCTCCTCACAGAGCTACAAATCCTACCACCATTGACAAACTGCAGTTATTAGGATTTTGGGGTGGGGAGATAGGAATGTGCTTTGCGTGTATTGTGTGTTCACAGTCACATTCCCCAAACGTCGTCATCATCATCATCATCATCATCATCAATTTATTATTTATACTCTAGGCTGGGTTTCCCCAGCCACTCTGGGCGGCTTCCAACAAAAGTTTAAAAATACATTAAAACACTTATCTTCCCTCCCTTCTAGCCCAACAATGGGATCCTGCCTGCTTAGTAGGTGGAGGCTTAGCTGAGTGAGACACAGCTCTCTCCCACGGTGCTATGGCTGAGGAGGCACACAGGGCAATTTAGCTGAGCAGGGCAGCACCTTTTTGTTAGAAGGTGGGAACTAGTTAATACGCAGCTGCCATCACTCTTGATTCACCAGAGCCTTAGTTTGCTAAGGTCAGTGAGTGAGGCTGCCAAGCAGGCTTGAGATTCCACACACCTCTTCCGATAAATTAAGTTACTGGCTTCCAGGACATAAATGCTGATAGGAAAGAAACAGCAAACAGTGTGGCCATGCCAAAAAGAAACACACAATCCAGTAAGTTATATCAGGATAGTTTCTAAAACAGTTGGGCGTATGAATAGAGAGGTCACTTGGACCTATCTTTAGAATTCCATTGGGTACACTGAGGGCCAAGCTAGATGATACGTTAACTTCATAGCCGTGCCCTTAAGTACACCGTATCTTGAGAGGACCCAATATGTTACTTACATATAGCACCCTAAACAACGCTGGGCCAGGTTATTGGAAACACTGACTTCCTATCTATAGCCCTATAAGAGCATTATAAGATCAGTCATGCTGCTGCTCAATGATTACTGACTTGTAATGCAAAGGCAGGCTTTCTTATTGATTGTACAGGATCCATAGAATGTTCTCCCTGTTGAGATTTGAGATTTGAGAATCTGTATTGGCATTCCACCAGCTCTTGAAGACACATCTGTTTATACCAGCATTTCCTGATCCCTTGACCTGGATCTCCTGTTTTTGCTGTTGTATTATTTTTATGATACTGCTTTATGGTATGTTTTAATCATAGATTATAATTAGTATATTTGCCTTTTATATTTTGTAAACAGCTTAGAAGTCAGTTTAGATATGGAGCAGCATATAACAACAACATCAACAAAAATAATAAATGGGGTTTTTTTTGGGGGGGGGGTTTAACAGTTTTCCTCCCACATTGGTTCCAATCAGATTGGTACACTTGTGATTGCAATTTGTGTAAGGGGAAAAAAAGCAAATTGGAGTCCCCCCCCACCCTAATTGTTAGCATGCAGAAAGGGGGTGAGCCAAGTCAGGGCCTTGGCAATGGGCAAGCTGCTATGCTAGGTTCCTGATCCGAATCAGGCCTTCTGTGCTTGCAATTTGTGTAACAAAAACAATCCTGCACTTTAGAACATAGATACGGAGCTTATATATCATCTCGTTTGACCACCTCAAAAATAGTGAGGATTATTACTTAATAAATAAGGGATCATCAGGAGAAAGAGAAATGAAGGTTTTTATTCTGAGCTCCCACGTGCCCTGTGATGCCCCAAGGAAACCATGGAGTCAAAGGGAATTTAGGTTGACCAATTCATGTATGCAAATGCTCACCTCTGCTTTTCTGCAGCAATGTGGCATCAGGAGTGGGTAGTTTGCAGGGAGGGAGTGGTGGAGAGGTGAAGAAGTGCTTAAACCTGGTGCGGGTAACCTTTGGCCCTTTAGATGTTGCTGAACTACGAGTCCCATCAGCCCTGGCAAGCGTGACCAATGGGCAAGTATGACAAGAGTGGTAGTTTAGCAACATCTGGAGGGAAGATTGTCTTCCCCTTGCAGCTTCCCCAGCTGTTTTTTCTCCTGTAGCCCCTTCTCCAAATAACACTTTGAGTCTTTGGAGAAGGAGCTGCATCAGCTAGCAAAGTACCTTGAAGGCCATGTTTATACTTCAGCAACAGCTATACCGTCATTATCTGCTAGTTAGGAGATGTACCTTTCCAATTCCAGTTTTGTCTGTGAATACAGAACATGAACACTTGCCCTCAAATAGTTGCAAATATGGCTTTCTGTGCTGACTCAAAAATGAGTTTGAGTAATAAAGAAAAACCCAGCCTCTTAATTTGTTACGGAAGTATATCCAATTTTCGAATCAGAGGCGAGCAAGGGAGGAGCTGGCCTCTTCCTTTCTGTTAACTGCAATTTTTACAAGGCTATGGAGTGGATACAGTTTGGCTAAAGTTGGTGGGAGTTTAAGACAGGGGTTGTGGATTTAATTAACACCCCCTTTCTTCCTGCTCCCTCAGTAATTTGAGCACTGTGTATAACTATTCTAATCCAGGACAATTAACAGTAACTTTTAAGTGTTTTTATGTTCTGAACACACTTGAAAATAAATACTGATTTAAGCCCTTCTTTCAGCTGAATGTTTGCCAAAAGCCACATTATTCACAGGTCCCACTGTACATGCAGCTACTCAGCTCTGTCCTTTGTCACCTATAAAATCAAAAGCTCCAGTTTCTTCCATTCTTCTCACAGGGGCCCCAAACTGTCTGGGACTTGGCTGTGAGAATGTAAGGGTGTTGAGGCAAACATAGACCCTTTCCTAGAAGCTAGGCCTCATAAACACAGACAGTGGTTGATGGAATAACAGCTTCGCACTAGGCTAGATATAGGGATTTGCTGCTAAAATGTTGCTACAGAGCTCAACTGCACTCAATTTACAAAACCTGAAATCCGTTTTATTTGAGATCCAATTTAAATTCTAATTTGGACCCTAAATGGAATCCACACTAGGAAATAGGGCATCTGCAGTAGAGATGATGGTTTGTTTGCAGATTCCAACATGGCCCTATAATGAACAGTAAAATAAATACAGACAGTTTGAGATCCATAGAGAACAAGTCGTTGACCCAGTGTCCTTTGCAAGAGAAAAAAAAGCAGCAGCTAATAGCAAACTTCTGGAGCTTGTTGATCCTGTGTCAGTATTTGCTGCAAGTTCCAAATTGTGAAATCTCTCCACGATGTGGGACAGATGTTGTGGCAAAGAAAATAAAAACAAACAGACATCAGGCTGGGAAAGGCAGAGACTAAAATGACACCATGTTCTAATTCCCTGTGGGACAGCTCCATGCAGCTTTCCAAATGACTGGACCAATGAGCAATTGGAGACTGAACAAGTCATATAAACAGAGCAGCTCAAGGTCTGCAATCAGTTCTGTGGAGTGTCTACAGTGTGAGCAGCAATTCCCGAAGGCAGGGGAGGAGGAAGGAATATCTTTGCTCCGGTGTCTTCTAAATGATCCTGACAATGCTGTGTCCAGAGCTGTTTGCGTAACAAAATGTACTCAAGTGGATTTTTTACAAAGCGCACTCTGGTTCCTATGGCAGTAGATCAACAAAAGGATATTCAATTAATTCAGGCGAAGGAATTCCCTCTTGCAGAGGAACTAATTCAGAAGTGGAGGTAAGATAAGGGCAGAGATGTACCAAAGGGAAATAAATGGGTTTATTGTCCTTCATTCAGAAGAGAGGTATAGAGGAATCAACAGCAGCTGCAGCTAAGACAAAAAGAGGAAAGACTGAATAAATAGCCCAAAGAAGATAAGGACATTACATGCATCCTTCAGTCACTTGGACCTGGAAAAGTGACCTGAAAATACCCTAAACTTCAATATTAATAAACCTCTCCCTCTCTCAAAATACTAGGATCAGGGTCCTCCAAGGAAGCTGAGTATTGGAAGATTCAGGACAGGACAAGAGGCAGCACATACTGAAACGGAATAATTGGCTGCCACAAGATGGTGTGGTGGCCACCAACATGGACAGCTTTAAAATGGGATTAGACAAATTCACAAAGGATAAGGCTGCCAACAGCTACTCCTCACCATGGCTAAGTGTCCTTCCCCCAGTATTGGTGACAGTATATTCATGAATAACAGTTGCTGAAGAATTCAAATAGGGAAAGTGTTGTGCTCAAGTCTTTCTGGTGGGTTTTCCATAGACATCAGGTTGGCCACTGACATAAGAAATCACAAGACAGAGAAGCCAGTAGGAAAACACTTCACTCTCCCAGGACATTCAATACAGGATCTCAAAGCAGCTGTCTTATTACAAAACAATTTCAGAAACAGACTTGAAAAAGAAGTTGCTGAATTACAACTTATCACTAAACTGAAAACTATGGAGAGACATGGTCTTAATAGAGATATTGGATTCCTGTCTCATTATATATGCTAATCATCTGCATACTATCCCTTGCTTTTTCCTGTAGGACTAATTGCAGTTAACAGTCATCAACAGGTTTACCATACCCATTGAGTCAATCACCCATCTCCTACTACCCTCCTGAGAAACCTCCCCCACCCTCCCACTATATATAAGGGTCTGGTGACTTCTGTTTCGGTGTATCTGAAGAAGTGTGCATGCACATGAAAGCTTATACCAAGAACAAACTTAGTTGGTCTCTAAGGTGCTACTGGACAGGTTTTTATTTTATTTTATTTATATATTTCGACTTGGTCAGACCAACATGGCTACCTACCTGAATCTAGGTTGACCACTGTGAGAAGAGGATACAAGGGCCTTTGCTTTGAGCCAGCAGGGCTGATGTACTTAACTTTAATAAAATATAGAGATCTTCTCAAAACACTTTCTCAAATGGGTTTCCCATGTTTTCTGATCAGTTTGAAATTGCCGTTAGAACAGCTAGGAGCTTTTCTTTTCCAGCAAGAACCCAGCCACAAATATAAAGGGAACATTCTGAAGCTGAAAGTTTGAAAAGAACACGGGGAAGATATTATTTTACCTGAATTGTTCGTTTCATCTCCAACTACAGCTTGTAAAAGCTTAGTAACAGCAGGATGGTGTTTTCTGAGGAAAACCAAAAACCAACCTTACTTAACCCATAGTTGCTTAAAATATATCCAACAATCAAAGACAACTGCCCTCCACTCTTATTAAGTTAATGACAACAAATTATCTAGTTTAAATGGCCCAATGTAGTCAGGTTAACAATTGACCAATCTGCTGATCAAATCAGAATGCTGGTTGTTCTAGACAGTGGCTTTGCACCACTTCAGAATGGAAGAGGGGAAATTGTGTAATTGTGTAAATACTATGCCTTTGTAAAATAAAACTCTCCAAGTTGGACCCAAGCTAAGTTAGTTGAACTTAAGTGCACTTAAAATCAATGGGGCAAGTTAATCATGACATACTGTAGTTTCCCAAGACGTCAATGGAATTTAAGTTAAACTAACAATTTGGATCAATCCTTCTATATACAACATGCCAGGGGAAAGAATCCAAAACTAGCCTTTTCCACTGGAATATGATTTCTAGCTGCAGGAGATTTTTTTTACACATAGAAGCATTCAAATATATTCCCCCACCATCTGTATTTTGAGTTCCATAAGTGCTGTATCATGTGCTGATTCTGAATATGTAAATCCTTATCAGAATCACAGCATCACCATCACAGGACTTGAAGAAATCTCAAGAGCAAATTAATTCAAGCTTCTATGGTGAAACAATGTTTGCAACAACTTAAGCTATCTCTCATTGATGCTTAACTTCTCATAAATGCCAGTCGGTAACTTGAGAACTTTCCTAAGCAATGTATTCCATCACCGTCACCAACAGCAGGCTTTCCATAGGCCAGTAATTTCCAGTTCCGGATATATTGTGGAATCTATACCTTTTACAGGATGTTCTATTTTCCAGTGTATCTTCTCTGGCTAGAATTCTAGGACTTCAACTAACCGTGTTAGCTAGGGCTAATGGGACTTGTAGTCCAAAACTACAAGTTGGGGAAGACTGACTTGTGTCTTTCTCTTTTAAGTGAAGCTTGACGTGAGACATTACTCCATCTCAGGCCTAAAGAATACAAAGCCCCAGTTGTTTGCAGTGTCCTAGACCTAGATCTTTTGTTGTCTACTAATAGGACCCAAAATGCCAGTTGTTTGCAGTGTCATTTGCATATTTGACATTTTGCAGCAATGTCAGATTGCTGACATATTTGTGTTCACAAGATTGACTCTACTCCCAGAGTCTTCTCTGTGCTGCTGTTTAGCTATTTATCCCCAAACTAACGCACTTTGATTTTGTGTGTGGATGAACCTTATGTTTTATTTTCCTAGCCATTGCTTGTTGGTAGCAAGCAGCCTTGGAAATTCTCATGTTTAAGCCTTGGCATTGCCATCTAAAACTATATTGGGCCTTGTAGAGCCACTGCTAGTTAAATAGACATGCTGGGATAGATGATTCTGTGGTCTGACTTAATACAAAGCTGCGTCATATAATACCCCCATTTATCAAGAAGATCACAGAATCATAGAATTGTAGACTTGGAATGACCCTTAGGATCATCTAGTCCACCCCCTGCAATACAGGAATATGCAGCTGTCCCATATGGAGATCGAACCTGCAACCTTGGCATTATCAGCACCACACACTAACTAACTGAGCTATCCAGTTGGTGGATTTCATTTCAGCCTACTAAGCTTGGGAAAGATTGAGGGCACAAGGAGAAGGGGATGACAGAGGACGAGATGGTTGGACAGTGTTCTCGAAGCTACCAGCATGAGTTTGACCAAACTGCGGGAGGCAGTGGAAGACAGGAGTGCCTGGCGTGCTCTGGTCCATGGGGTCATGAAGAGTCGGACACGACTAAACGACTAAACAACAACAACAACAATCGATCTGAATGGTTTCCTTTTTGGTTTCTCATCATAGTATTAATATAACTGTTAAATACCAAATTTAGGAAAACATGAATGAGTTTTATGGGGATCAATATTAGGGCTTGTTTGCATGACAAAGAGCTTAATTTGAAACATTTTTCTTAAAATGGTGATAGTGTTGGGAAGCATGTATGTTCGGTTTTTTCCTTTAATCCTCATCTTGTCTCTCTGAAGTTTGTCATTTCCCAAATGCTTAAGTCCCGTCAAACTACAACATCCCAGCAGCCCATCAGTCCACATATATCTGCATGCAGTGCTTGATACTTAAATAACTGAGGGCAATGTCTTAGCACATGAGACAAATCTACATAGTATTTGAAAATGCTGATGTGTAGATGCAGATTTGGGTCTCTAAGCACATTAAGATGGTGAGTGGCTGAGGTTTCACTGGCACTGTGCTTTGGAGCATGCCCAACATCCCTGTAGATAAAGGTTTTTTAAAATACGTTTTAACAAAATTAAGGAGGAGGGTGAAAGGAGTCTTGGGACCAATGCAAAAGGCCCTGGACATGCTTAAAGCCCCTGGGCCATCTTCTAATAGTACCCTTAGTATACAGAGACATAATCGTGCAAATAAGGGCCTGTAGTCAAATATATTGTGCTACGACACCCCTGTGTACTTCTCCATATTGGTGCACATATGAAGCATATCTGGTTAACAGACCACACACTTCTTGTTCTCTCCCTATGTAAGAGCTTCCACTGAAAGAGGAAGAGCGAGTGAGAAAATGAGCATGTACTGTCTGGACATCTTTTACTTGCAGAAAGGGGAACTTATGTGTAACTTGCATAGGAACCTCGGGGGGGGGGAGGTTTCTCTTCACTTGGTATATCCAGCCTGATAACCATGAATAGGATTACCTGAAACATATGAGGCAGCCAAGCCTAATGCTACCTCTAATGGAATACAGTGGCATTAACTTGAGTGAATTCTTCATTGATTCCATGGTGACAATGTTGCACATTGCATGCATACACTTGCTTCCAGCATTTATCTTTAAAAAAAACAAAAACCAACCTGTACAAATGAGCTCCATATCCCAACAGATTACAGGGGTGCACCCAGCATTCCTTTCATAGTTAAATTGGGTTGCACGTTTTAACCAAAACTTTCAAAATGGGATGCTTAGGAAGTAAAATGCATTTTACATGCTCATCACTCTGGAAAGCCTGTAGGCATATATGTATCCTCTCCACCATGCATATAGTGTGTGGTGTGGCTTATGTGCATATGAATGTATGCCACACATCATATGCAACATTGCATACATCAAAGTCAAGCAAATATGCATGTCTGACACACATCTAGTCTCGAGAATGATGAGCATCTGAACTAGCTCTTACCTTCGTGATGAACGAGAGTGGAATGTTTTTGCCCTTCAGAAAACCTCTCTAAAGCCATTGCTAATATGGTTTGCATCCATTAAAATTTGTGCAGATTTACAATTGCTTATTCATTGAGCATTGAGGCTGACCTTAAGGAAAGAGAGAAAAATCACACATGCAACCACAAAACAAAACAAAACAAAATGCAGCTGGCCTGGTTTAAAGTCAGCCAAAGAGCAGCCTACTTACTTTCTTCCTCACATCAGTATAGCATAGTTCTGGAAATGACTTTTTTATACTATTCATAGCAGTGTCTATATTTGTGTGTTGTGGAAGAAAGTGGAGATAGAATGAAAAAAATATCCAGTTATAGTTATCTATCCATATAATCATAAATCATATTTCCTCCATTGTAACTTATTCCTCTTGCCTTTATCCATTCGCAACACTATTAATAACAATGATAATTATATAATCTTCTTTAACTCTAGGATTCTATTCAGACTTCATAATCTTCACAAACATCTGTGGAGTATCCTTATCTTCTTTGTTATGGAGTTCCGTTAAGCAAAACAAACCTTGACAATATCCATTTTCCCATGCTTAATCTTCTGGCTACTGCTCTGGCTTCCTAGTCCTACTAGGCCTACTAAATACTGGAGTGTGAATGAACCTTATACCTGTGAGACTTTAAAATATCCTGCAGAGGAAGATAACCTCTTAACAAAATACTTAATTTTTATGAAGTGTCAACAACATGAGAGTCAAGGTTACCTTCTTCCTCTCTCTCCCAGTGTATCATCTCCAGAGAGCAGGTAGCAGATTCTGTGCTGTACTTGACCCTAAGAGTGCCACTGTCAGAGAAGAAAACACTTTTGTTATTTGGTTATTTGTTATGCAATTATTATTTGCTATTTACGAAGGACAATTACATACCACCATTCTAGCTCAAAAACTGAGCCACTCAATGTAACTTACAGGACAAATTAAAAACAAACATTCCAAATGGACAATCTACTGAGGGTGAGTTTACCAGGCAGTGTTTCTTGGTATGAGAAAAGGGACTTACAAAGGTATTCTACTCCCTCTTTTCATATGAAGAAGCTTAGGAAGGGATGTAACAGGAAAAGGAAAAGCTTCACGGGTTAGCAAAGCACAAGTTGCAAAGAGTGCCTCTATTTAGTTTGGAGAGGCTCCTTTAAAAGTATATTCATATTCGTGCTGATGTAATACTTAAAACGGGTGCTTGACAACATCTACAAAACATGTCAAATACTATGTCCTACAACATAATTTCATTGGGTATTTCCAGACAACTTGTTTATTGAGCAGGTTAGGGAAGGTTAGATGCTACTGCATCAAAGCCAATTTTACCCCACAGTTTCCAGTGCATTTTCCTATTACTTTTCTTTTTGCAAAAGTCTGATCTTTGAGGGTAACTGATTCATTTCACAATACCTCCCAAACAATCGTAACTGCACAACCTAAATGTGGTGGTATGTGGCTGAATCCCACCCCAAAATAGCAACTGACTGGAATCCCCTTTTATGTTTTAAGTGACATCAATGGAGGTGGCTAAGATGCATCAAGTTAATAAAAAGCCCACCAGGAGGGAAAATTAAATATGTCACAAATTTCTGCATAGTAGAATGGCATCCTATAGATAGTGAACTTTGTAAGTTGCATATTTAACTGCTATGATTACAGGAAGGAACTAGCTAATTCTAAGGTCCAATTCATTTGTGCTCTTTGGCTTCTTTTTCACATTAGTGCACTTAGGTAGTGTTAGATTCTGGACTTAATGGTATTATGCCACACCCCCTCTTGAGATGATAATGTGTGGAAGGCCACAGCTCAGTGGCAGAGGACCTGCTTTGCCATGCAGAAGGTCACAGTTCAAACCCCAGCATTTTCAGGCAGGGCTGGGAAGGTCCCCAGTCTGAATCCCTGGAAAGCCACTTCCAGTCACTGACCACTACTGAGCCAGATGGACCAATGGGCGTCCTATGTTATTCAAAATGGGTTTTTTTGTTAGTTAGTTTGTCTTGTAAACTGCTTAGAGGTTTTCCTATACTCAAGCAGAATATAAATTTTGTTAGATAAAATAAATAAGACAAAATGTGGAAAGCCATAATAATAATAATAATAATAATAATTTATTACTTATACCCCAGCCATCTGGCCAGGCCTCCCAAGCCACTCTAGGTGGCTTCCAACAGGATATTAGAAACACAATAACTAATAAAACATTAAAAACTTCCCTAAACAGAGCTGCCTTCAGCTGTCTTCTGAAAGTCAGATAGTTGTTTATTTCCTTGACATCTGATGGGAGGGCGTTCCACAGGGCAGGCGCCACTACCGAGAAGGCCATCTGCCTGGTTCCCTGTAACCTTACTTCTCACAGTGAGGGAACTGCCAGAAGACCCTGAGAGCTGGACCTCAGTGTCCGGGCAGAATGATGGGGGTGGAGACACTCCTTCAGGTACACTGGGCAGAGGCCGTTTAGAGCTTTAAAGGTCAGCACCAACACTTTGAATTGTGCTCAGGAGCCAATGTAGGTCTTTTAGGACCGTTGTTATATGGTCTCGGCAGCCATTCCCAGTCACCAGTTCAGCTGCTCCATGTAGTGTGCATTGCAGTAGTCCAAGCGGGAGATAACCAGAGCATGCACCACTCTGGTGAGATAGTCTGCGGGTAGGTAGGGTCTCTGGTAGACAGATGCCCTGGACACAGAATAGACCTGTGCCTCCATGGACAGCTGTGAGTCCAAAATGACTCCATTTGGGGGCCTTTCTGCTCATTCTTCAGAGTGGGTGCCCTGGACTTCTTCTTGTGGCACCACTGTTTATTTGTTTAAGAGCTCAGAGGCTGCTTGTGTGACCAGTGTAAGATTGGCGGAGGGACCCTGCAGTTCCAGTTCCATTGGAAGGAGATAGGGCACTTATGATTTCTCAGACACATTGCATGCTTAATTAAAGCAACAGCCAGCCAGTGGGAATTTTGATTCCCTAAGGGCACAGTTAAAAACCCCACCCTGTTGCTGGGTCTTTGTGGATCCACTGCCACACCCACAACCTGACTGCTCATGCCTGCTGCAACTGAAGGAGGGGATGAAGATCAGACCTGATCCCTGTGCAAATTCCAGGCTGGCACAAATATCAGGTCCATATTGGAACTGGATGCTGTTGCATGATAGTAGCGAGATTGGCTCAGGTTCCAGTGGACTGGTTTGATCCCACCCTCAGAATGCCCTATTGTGGGGCTTTTTGCTGGCCTCCACCATTGGGCATACCACCAGTGGGCCTCCTGCCCACCCATGTTTGGTAGCCATTAGGGGGAGATTGCTGCTCATAGAGCTCATTCTGATTGTGGGTGGTAAGATTTGCCCAGCACATGGAAACAGGTAAACTGAAATCACTCTGTTTTAATAGTTAAGATTATAGATGGTCACCCAACTGCAATAAGATACCCACTCTCGTCTCATCTATACATGCACATGAATACTCCTTGGTCTTTGGCAGCATATAAGGGATGAATTTTGGAACACAGGAAAAAGATTGTACAGAAGCGTCCAAGGGAGGCCTGTACAGGCATGAGGTGATGCTGTCTCATCCTGTGCCAGCTGTGCTCTTAACAAATCTTGTGCAGTAAATTAGAGCAACCTTTGGCCTGTTGCAAGTTATTGTGCTAGGAACTCTCTCAAGGAAACATCAGTCTGGAATTTGCAGTGTGGGCCCTGAGAGATAACATCCACTTCCTGGGAAAGCACTAGCATGGAATAACAATTAACCCCCGTATTAATTATTGCATTATTCTCTTAATAATAATACATTGGCTGAGTGTTTTATGAAGCTTAAATAATGAGCTGTAATCAAGAAGAGTATTAGTTTATCATTACTGGGGTGTGTGAGAGAGTTGAGTATGCATGCTTGCTTTTCATAGTTGGTGACATGCTGTGCTGGAAAGGCTGAGGAAACAGATTAATGGACAAGGCGCAGGCTCTCCCTGGTCTGCTAAGGCATTGCTTTAAGAGAGAGGGTTCAATATAAGGTTGTTGCTAAGGCTGCTGAACTAATCGGGGCTCAACAACAGGAACTGTGCTGCATAACACTGAAACTAAGCAGGTGTGGACCTGGTCAATAAACTGGGTGAGAGACTTTTGTGAGCCCCTTGCAACATACTTCTTTTAAAAGGAGGGACCCCAGCCAAAGTGGCAGAGCACATGCTTTGCACTTAAAAGGTTCCAGGTTGAATCCCTGGCATCTCCAACCAAAAAGGAATGGGCAGCAGGTGATATAAAAGGCCTGGGTCCCTGAAGAGCGGCTTCTCCTCAGGTAATACCCGGTTAGATGGACACATAGTCTGACTTTGTATGCTTCCTGATCAAGGAAAACTTGATACAACTTGCTTCTTCTCTGAAGCCCGTCTCTGCCTGTACCTGGCAGACAGGCCACTGGCAGCAGCACCCACCAGCAGTGGGGTCCGTTGCCAGCTAGCAGGCCATCCAAGCTGAATACCATCACCCTCCATGCATGGTGGCTGACCATGGGCTTCACAAGCCTTCTGTTTCTGCAACCTGGAACAACAAAAGCAAGAGGCTTGTCGGGTCCTACAGGATCACACTACAAGGCTGGTGGGCTGTGGTCAACTTAATAATGCAGGAATAACATGTTACTATAGCAGTTGGATTTTTTTTTTAATACCAGAAACCATTTGTGCCATGTGGTATGACAAGTAAGTGACATTTACACATCTAGGGGAAATTCCAAACATGCTATGTTAAGGGCTGTCTCTCTGTGTGTGGTTTAGCCAGCCATCAGTGGGCTTGTAGCTGGATTGGCATCATGACACCAGTGGAGGAGGGAGTATTTAACCTATTACCCCTGCACTGTGCTCCTGCTGAAAATGGCTCTCAAAATCTGCTGTTTGTCCTAGGAGACAAAATGGGGGAAGTGGGGAGAGGTTTACATTTTAAAGTCGCCACCACCTGTGCTCTGGTCCTAACTGGATTTCTTCCTCTATTCTATTTAATTCTCTCTCCCCCCCACAAAGATGCAGTTCACATATTGTGTAGTTTGGCACTCCAGAGTCCAGTTGCCTACTTATGTACACTAGTTGCCTCTGGACACATATTCATTGGCCCTCACAATCAGGGTGGTAGAGGCCTGGAATGTTAATGCATGCATGGTTTCCTGCAGGATACATTTATGCAGTTGGCCTAAGTGATCTGCCCTGTGTTGTGAATAACTTGTACATTAGGGCCAGCATATAACCAACATGAATAATGTGAATAAGAGATTATGATGCTGTTTTAAACACAGTGTTGGTAGCTATACCGTGTCAGGGAAATCATGATGCATGAACACATTTGTTTTTTCATTATGCAGTTACCTTTTGTCCCAGGACAAAACAACAACGCTACAATAGTGGCAACACAGCGTGAGGTGCAGATTAAAACAAAAAGGAGGAACAGTGGATCCCTCCCATGCTTATAGGGGACTAGAAGTTGATATCAATGCCAGACTAATTAATATAAAAGAAAACACCATGAACGTGTGGACCTGGATGGTATTTGGGCCATTCTGCGGCAAAAGTATAGAAAAACTCTTGAGCAAGGCCCAAAGCAACTGCCTTCAATGGGTTAACACAGGATGTATGTGTAATTTGGCACACACTATGTATAAACAGGAAAGGAGCTGAAATGGCTGGCTGCACTTCAAGAACATATACTCTTCAGTGAAAGATATTTCCCTCCAAAGGCTAATGAGGTAATCTGAGTCATGCTGAGTTCCCGCCCAGGCAGAAATTCCCCTACATCATGACCAGCTTGATTGCAGTGACCAGTGACATATTCCCAGGGAAGCAGGAGCTGTTTGTGTGCCATCAGCTGATAAGCAAGGGTTAAATCCTGCTTAGTTCAGCAGCATTCAGTGCAACCCCTTTCCTGATTCTGGAAGGGATTTGCATCAAAAGTCCTGCTAAAATGGAGGGGGGTGGAACTTGTTTTAGCAAGTTTTGCCTGCTGCCACTTGTCAAATTTGGTCCATGGCGCTGATCCTGATAAGGTTGTGGCCCAGGGTGCCAAAAAGATCCCCCACCTCTGCATTATAATATTCTAAACCTACGTATATAGAGTTTTATTTGACAGTGGCCCAGAAAGTCTATCCCATTCTGGTCACTCAGTGAAATCTAGATGGAGTATCTGCCACCTACGTCCAGGCTATTTATAATATGAAAAATTAGTGGAAATTCTTATATACCCATTGGAATTTCCCCCCTGCTGTTGCTGACAGGACACACAATTTTATTAGTGAATGAGCCCTCCATATATACATACACAGCCACACAGAGTGAAAAGCAGGGTTAGCCAGAGTTCCCGGTTGTGTGGAGGAACACCTATGTGTTCTGCAAGCATATGGGGTCCTTTGCACAAATGCCAAATGTGTGGCTGACAAGAACATCAGTGTTGCAGGTGCATGGCTCTCTCATGTTCAGTGTGGGTGTTGTCTGAACACTCCTTTACTGAACTACAATTAGATTGCAGCAGCTGGACCGCAGCAAGTGCTGTCTTGAAACATATGTGGGGATTGGGAAAGGATGGGTGTAGCCACTGCCAGTTAGGCAAATGCAAGAGATTAATGAGTGCTTAGGCAGCAAGTTTTCAGAACTTCCCTTTGCTCTAAACTCAAGAACCCTTCTTTGGCTGTGCAGACGGGATATCGAAAACCTGCTTGTAGTCTTTTGGGTCGCTGCACAGCTGCCTGCATGGAAAAGCAACAGAAAGTAGCACAGCCTTGCCATGTCTGGAAACGGCTGATATATGGAGGACACGTACACAATATAAAACCCTCTCAGCCACATTAAGGTTGCTGGATAGATTCCAAGGTTTCATCTGCTGCTGTGTGTGCTTCTTGAGTGTTTTGGTACTCACAGAAACCTCAGACAGATGTCAGCGATATCTCGCCAAACAGATAACAAAGCTGGGCAGCCAAGTTATTTCACGGCTATAGTGAGATATTCTGGCCAATGCATTCTTTTTGAGAACCAGACCAAACTGAGCCCTTGGTCATCTGGCAAACTGCAGAGGGAATGCTGTATAGCATTCTCCCCAGGAGGGTGTGTCCGTGGGACAGGAAGAACAAGGCAATGGGCAATTCCCCAGTGCTTCCCCCCACTGAGATTATGAGCCCTGCCCTCCATTCCTCTCCCTCAACAGTCATTCACAGCTGTTGGTTTTTTTTTAAGTTGATCAATTTCCATATTTCTTTTTTTGGAATGGGTTTGGATAAACCCACTCCAGACAGATTAGCTAACTGTATGCTTAGCCTCACTTTCCAGCATAGCTCAGGGGTCCAAATACCCTGGATTATTTTGGTTTTTTTAATAAAAAATCATGTTGCTGTTTGCTTGTTCTGTACCTCCCAACCAACTTCTCTTTTGGTTTATAGAATTACTACTTGTTGTTAACTCATGAATATGCCTCAGATTTGGGCTTCCTTTTTGTAAAAAAAGAAAAGAAAGAAAAAGGCAGGGATAGATTGAAGTGTGATATTGAAGTACATCACAAGCGAAGGAAGGAGGATGTCCTGCATAACCAGAGTTCCTTTCCTGAACAGTTTTCACCACAGGACAACTAAGCACAGAAGGAAAGAAAGGAAGGAAGGAAGGAAGGAAGGAAGGAAGGAAGAAAGGAAGAAAGAAAGAAAGAAAGAAAGAAAGAAAGAAAGAAAGATAGATTTTGGATGGGCTGAGATGATCCAAGTTCTCTATTTGTAGCAAGCATCTAGTGACTCGAAACAGACACTGAAAAAGTTCTGAAGGGGTTAAGAAATAAAAACCCGGAAGAGGTTGTTATTGCAGGAAGTTCTTATATTTGATTTTTTTTTCATGAATAATTTTTTATTAACCGACCAATCACATCAAATCAAACCAAATTACATAAATTCCAAATTACACAGCCGAATTTTAAATTTTTGTTGGGGGTACCCATATTTCAAGTTCCGAAGGGATCCAATCAACTTCTTGCTTCTTACTGCTGTTTTAATGTCCACAAATCTAACCTTATGATGTTCACAGTACTATCCAGTCCTTTCTTATTATTTTTCCACATCTCTTGTTGTTATTTTCATATATTTTTCCTTTCTCTTTGTGACCTCTGATAGTCTCCACAAGCTGGTTAGAACAGTTTGTAATCCTGCGTGGATATTTTTTTTTATCCAGTAGCCATATCCAGACGTTTTCCATATAACATCACTTCCATACATCAAAACAGTCTTAGCGTCATTAATCTTCACCAATCTGCCTCCTTTCTCAAAACCTCTGAGGAGATTCACTAGGAATGCAGTCTGGAAACAAGTCCGTTCTTCCTCCCGGCTATAAATCCTTTGACAAGATGGCGACTCCGAATTAATTGCTGCGCCATTCCCAAAAGCTCTTATTGCTTCTCGGTCTCCATAAAGCATACTTTTGGTTAAAGTTTATCTCCACACAGACCTTAATCATCCTGCTTGGGTCAGTTCAACCGACGATTCTAATGAGGAAGGGTTCTTGTAAATCACATAGAAGGAAAGTAAAAAAGGTTCCTCCCCCCCCCCCATTCAGCCCCGTTGTCCACATACCCAACCTTTGGTGTATCTTCATCGTAAAATATTCCTGTTTCTCCAGCCCGTCGTCTTCTTTCGCAGAGGTCACTTAAATTAGCAGACTTCACTCCCCTTCTTCACTTGAAATATGTGCATTTGCTTCTTTTGTAATTAATTATTCCAAATTGCTGCAACTAGTGCACGATCAGAGACAGCGTCCAGGAGAGCCGAGGTCCACACGGGGGCATTCTGCCTAGGGCCCTCACCCCCTTCTTTCGAATTAGGGGGTGATTTATGGGCACAGCAGGCAACGGCAGTGTTCCCCATTTCCTTGGGGCAACAAGGGAGGCTGCCTACTCCCATAACAGCCTCTTAATTACCCCGTGTGGGTCGGAGAGATGGTATTGTCGGCCATCTTCCAATGCGCCCCCTAGTGGCCCCCTGAAGTTCTTATATTTGAAATAATATCCACCCAAAGGAACATTTTGATATTTCCTTGGGATCAAGGAGCCCATATACAGTATACTGTATATGACTAAACACCAACAGCAGTGACAGGAAAGCAACAGCTTTAAAACAATGCATTGTTGCACTTGCTATCTGATAACTATTAAGGAGTCTGGGGTCTGGATGGAAGATGGTTACGGGGTCAGAATGAGTGTTTAATGTTCCTTTATGGTCAGTGAGCAAGCTGTGCCAGCCACATCTTTTGTTACTTTTTGGAAATAACTGATAAAAGGCCTAGAATGGCTAGGTCTGACGTAGCTGAAGACTCTCCTAGAATGTAAGGAAGACAACTCATCTTCTTACCCATCCCAACTAAAGGTACAGGCTAGTTGGTATAGGTGTGTCTGTGAAGTAAACAATAGAGCTGTGTTTTGTAGATAGTTGGAAGGGAGAGCTAAGAATTAGCTGTGATCTCTAGAAGCATATTGAAGTGCTGCTGGAATGTCTCTTGGGGGATCTGATTAAGGGCAGGGGAATTGTTGTTTGTAGGAGTGCTTACTCCATGTACAACCAAACTTCACAGAAATGTCTGTGAATCTATGGATCTCTCATCCAAAAGGCAGCCAACCACCTTTGACTTTATTTAATCATTTGTCATTAAGATTTATAGCCCATCTTCCATTTGAGTTATCAGATTGGCTAACTCCTCACTGCTCAGGAAAGTGGGGAGCATGAAACAATATATTGTTATTAAGCAGCCGAGTAGTATTACTTCTACAGCGTATCAACTGCTAAGCACCAGTAGAGCATAAAATGAGTCATGAAACAGTAGGGAAAAGGGCAGGGAGGGAGATTCATTAATTACATAGAGGTGGAAATCAAAGAGGTTATAAATCTGTGTGACACTAGTAGTAAAAGTGGGGCAGAAAGTCTAAAATTGCACAACATTTCCAAGTGAAACACGGCTCTGCTCTAATGAACCTGACAGAATTGGATGTGGGATGTCAATCTAAAAAGAAGGTGCTGCCAATGATGTGGGTTAGCCTTTGCCAACCTTGTACCCTCCAGCTCTTTTGGACTACAACTCTTATCGGCTGCAGACAGCACTGGAGTTGTGGCTCAAAATACCTGGAGGGCACCAGGTTGGTGAAGGATGATGGAGGTAGACCTTCTGTGTCAATGAATGACAGTAGAACCCATGCCAGCCCTCGCACACAGATAGGGAAAGCTGCTGTGGACAACCATGAGTGCCAAAATATATTTCTGCCCAAATTCCATGCCAAGATAGTGTAACCAGGTCCAGCAGGTCATGCGGCACAATGGCAGAATGCCTCCAAACCAAAGTTTCTTGGGCACCATGGATAAAAGTCAACCATTACAAGGTGCCAATGTGGAATCCTTCTTTCTCCAAGAAAGACAGATTCAAAGATGGTGAGAAAATTTAGCCAAGAGAGGAATAGGCCTTAACAATTCTGGCAAAACACATACTCTCTTTTAATCACTACTTGACACAACACACAATAGCACTCAGAGGTAATTAGGAAAGTGGCGTTGGGCGCTTGCACATCAAGGCTTCTCTTTCTTTGCATCTGCCCTGCAGCCATCCAGGCACTCCCAAAATCTGCTTTTGAGGGTTGGGAGACCCTTTGGAGCAGATTTGGGGGGTATCCTGGAGGGGAGGGGGAGAAGAAAAACCAGAATCCCTGGTTGCTGAAATGGATTTCCATTGCACCAGCAGGAAGAAATAATTAATCCCAAAGCTGAGTATATAAAACTATTTATGATATGCAATTTATATGACAAAAACACAAAAAGATATTCACAGTCTTAAACAATCAGTTAAATAGAATACAATAGATAAACAGGCTCAAGCATGACTTGTTCTGAAAGCACAAGTTTCTCCCTGTGTGTCTGCTGTACATGGTTCCCATGTCACTCCTACCATGTTTAGATTTGTTCACCCAAAATATGATGCGTTGCCCGTATCTCAGGTTGAAATCACCCCGTTGGCCTATGGCTTTTCTGTTTACTGACACAGTACAGTTAAAGCAGAGAACCCACGGCTCCATGATTTACTTTAGAGATGTCTGTTAATCCATCCACCAACCCCCCACCCCGCCCCTTCTCCTTGGTTTACTACAGTCTCTTCCAGCTCGTGATAGCAGCATGGCCTCTGAGTGACCCCAGATTAATGTAAATATTTGGCTTTCATTGGAAGGAAATGTGACATACATTTGGGATGGAAGCTATCCAGAGGCTGCAGGCTTTGGAGGCAGCCTTGTGGGAAAGCAGGTTCTGTGGTGGCCTCTGCAAAGTATTTCGCTGCTGAGTGTTTCAGAATTCTCGTCCCCCCTCCCCTTTACTGCAGCAAAGAGCAGCTTTCAGGCTACAGCAGCTTGACTTTCAAGTGCTAAATGAGCTGTTTTTCCAGGGGGCAGCCAAATAATTCTCCATATGTTGGCCAGACACAAGAGACTGGAGGGCTCTTTGCTGGGCGTAGTGTGCACCAGGGAAAATAGCTTCAGAAAGAGATAGCATCTCTGGCTGCTGTTGCCGGGGAAACTGAAGATGCACTCACATGAACAAAGGCAAATGTCCTCCGACATTCCTGAAGGGATTATTCAAGAAGCACATGGCTTCAATACTGCCTCCTCACTGCTTGAGGGAATCCAGGCAGTTCAGGCAGCACCAATAAAAGATAAGCAGCACGAAAGGAAGTACCTGTCCAGGGCTTTGGTGCTACCACAACTAGTTGAGTCTCATGGTTGCTAAGCCTCCTCATCTGCTCTGACCAACCACAGTCAGACTACAAGTTGATTGTGGGTGATGGAGATGGGGACTGAGCCTCTGCTTCAAAATGCCTCTGTGCGCAGGAGCACTCATTCCTCCTTTTCTCATCCAAGTGGATTGTGTTCAGTAACGTCATAGGAGACTCTCCTGTGCTTTGTTGGCACAGCTCAGTGGCAGAGCATCTGCTCTGTATGCCGAAAGTCCTAGGCTCTGGGAAAAACTCCTGTCTGAAACCCAGTAGAGCTTCTGCCAGTCAGTGTAGACAGCAGTAAGCTAGATGGACCAGTGGTCTGACTCTGTATAAGGCAGCTTCCTATGGGCTGTATCCAATACTGCTGTTCCAGTTGTGCAACAAGCATGTTTGCACAGTGTAACTTCTATCTCTTCCCCCCTTCCCCTTAGTATTCCCTCAAATCTGCTCCAGAGGACGGGAGGACCCTATGGAACCGATTTTGGAGATGTACGGGGAGAGGAGAGGAAGAGGAAGTTTCTATTGTGTGAGAGGAATGCTGGGTGCAACCCTTCATTCCTAACCCATTTCATATGCACCTTCCTGGACCCTGAGATCATCTTCTTAGGCCCTCTTTCATGTGCCTCATCCTCGAGAGATCCAGAGGGTGGCAACACAAGAACGGGCCTTCTCTGCAGTGGCTCCCTGTCTGTGGAATGCTCTCCCCAGGGAAGTTTGCCTGGCGCCTTCATTACACACCTTTAGGCGCCAGGCAAAAACATTCCTTTTTAACCAGGCTTTTGGTTGACCTGATCGACATCCTATACCCTTTTAAAATGTGGCTCTTTTTTTGGGGGGGGGTATTATTGGGTTATTGTTTTTATTTTTATTTTATATATTGTGATCTTTCTTGTGAACCTGAGACCTCCAGGTAAAGCACGATATATAAATTCAAACAAACAAACAAATCCTTCTGCATACTCCACTTTTTAAAGTCATAATATCCGTTGCTAACCCATTACTTACTGCCCACACCAGTAGGTGGAGTTTGAAGGAAGGTATCTGAGTTATGTTTTTCTGCCCCCTCCCTTCCCTCCCAATAATAACTTATTTCTCACACTGCGTTACCTGTTCATGTTCTGCACAGATATTTCTATACCTCTGTGTACCTTTATTGGGGGCTGGGGGAATCCCAGCAATTGTGCAAGTGCAAATTTCACCAGTCTTATCTAGCCAGTTCTGTTTCGCAGTGGGCAAAATGGCGTGTGAGAGATCCATTTCTTTAGTTTATTTTTTAATAATGAGGTATTGCATAAGAGTGCACAAGTGATACAGTGGTCTTGTGCAAGACCTCCATATTAACTTTAAACAAAACAAAACAAAAAGCCTGACCTGTGTAATTGCGATTACAGTCTTCCACATAACCTCCCACATTTCCTGTAGAGATCTTGAGAGAATATCTCATTCAAACTGAGCATGTAGCAATCAGTGGAAAGAGACAAAATGGTTATGTTGTGCTCACATAAGGAGCAAGCAGAAATAGAATCATAGTTGGAAGGAACCCAAGGGTCATCTAGTCCAACCCAGCAATGCAAGGGCAATAGAAAAAATCCACTGAAATGTCACAACATATGACAAACTGCCTAGTCCGAAAAATGCAATAATGAGTTTCCACACCAGCAATGACTGCAGATACATAATGGGTTCCTGGATTTTCTGTGGAAAGTGGGAAAAATCAGATTAATTGTAAAAAAACAACAACAAAAAAAAACAAAACTTATGGGCTTCATTTTGATAACAGCACATGTGGATGCTACAAAAAACTTGTCAGTGGAAACAGCACTGATTCCACAATAAACTGTTTGGAGGTTCCTTTTTATGGTTATCTTTCAGTAAAAAAGCTGAGCTAAACATACTCAAGATGGAAACACATATGAATCAATGCTCAACAGGTGGTTAAAAGACATACATTTTCTGCTGAAGTAATTGTGATTTTTTTCTGACAATGCAAGTGGGAAATGGTTTAAATACCCTTTGACTGTGTACAAGAAGAGGCAGATGTGACATTCAAAGCCAGACCTAAATTTAGAGTACTGGTTTTTTCTTTTCCAGGGCTTATGCTATTTAACAAAGGGAAGGTGATGGTGTTCAGGGATATCTGGGAGTCATGCCCTCTGTTCCGTATAACCTAATCCCAGATATATGCTGCTATCTTTGTGGTGACTCAGTCATGAGAAAAGTGTACAGGCACGTGGACCAACACAAGATTTCACTGAGTTTTTACATTAAAAACAGGTTGCAAGCCTTGCTGATCTTTGTCCCAAAGTAAGCCTTCACGCAAAAGGGATGTGGGTGGTGCTGTGGCCTAAACCACAGAGTCTAGGGCTTGCTGATCAGAAGGTCGGCGGTTCAAATCCCTGCGATGGGGTTAGCTCCCGTTGTTCGGTCCCTGCTCCTGCAAATCGAGCGTTTCGAAAGCACGTCAAAGTGCAAGTAGATAAATAGGTACCGCTCTGGCAGGAAGGTAAACGGCATTTCCGTGCGCTGCTCTGGTTCGCCAGAAGCGGCTTAGTCATGCTGGCCACATGACCCGGAAGCTGTATGCCAGCTCCCTCGGCCAATAAAGCGAGATGAGTGCCGCAACCCCAGAGTCAGCCACGACTGGACCTAACGGTCAGGGGTCCCTTTACCTTTACCTTTAAGCCTTCACGCAGGTACAGGAAAAGGCTACGCTGTTTTTAAGTAATGCAAGTCACGATAGCAACCTGTGCATAGTCAAGTGAGAATATTCACATTATGTTATATATGGGCCATCGCTTCATTAGCTAACTACGAGTATAAAAATGTTTCAAGCAGACATGTTTGAGGGGCGTGAAGCCCTGTAGTACCCCCTGAGAAAGAAATGTTGCCCCAGAAATGCATTTAATGTTCAATCTGCAAGGAGTTAGAGCTTCACAAACCATGGACTAACAAAAGCTAGGCTAGACTTGGCAAGAGGTGTTTGTACAAGGACAGCTGGAAAATATCCTCCTTCTTTTTCTGTTTATCAACAGGATATTGATGCTTGAAGACTGCTCCTTGTGAAGACTCCTTTTCCTTGACAGAATAATAAGCAAACAAGTCTTAGCCTGCTGCCTGTAGGGAAATGGGTTTTGTTATGGAAGGAGAGCGCCCTGCGCTAAAACAACAAACAGAAGAATGGCTGTGTTTGTTTTTCCATGTGCTGGAGGTGAGGGTGCAGCCACCACAGGCCTGCCTTCATATCCTCTCCAACTGACAGAGGAGGGTGAGGCAGAGACATATACAAACAGAAAGACTTTCCTGAGGTAATTTAATAGAGGATGATATTCCTTAATCCTTCCTATATAGATGGCCTCACCCAGCCCGTATAAAAACTAACAATGTATACATGAACTCTGACACAGATGTTCCTCCATGCTTACAAACCTAATTCACAGGCTTGTTTCCTCACCAAGCCAAAGTACCTGATTTAATTATTGCACAAAATACTCGCTCATGATATGCCTGGCTCACACCCAAGATAAGCCACTAATGTGTATCTTCTTTGATGGTCAAAAGAACATTCATTATAATAACTATGCAAATATGCACTTCAGACCATGCACCACAATTTTTTTTAATTAAAAAAATGTGTGTTACAATCTTCTAAATAAATTAAAGCATCTTATATAATTCAAACTATAAAAACGTAATAAAGCATAAATAATTCAATGACTTCAATTACACTATAACAGTACAAAATACAATTTAAAAGAATAATAAATTGAATTGGCGGTGGGCAATCTTTTTGCAACTGGCGGTTCCATTTGCTCAGGGACTGCGTGCTGGATGGGGGAGGCCACAGTGGGTGAGGCCAAATTATGCACATGCACACTCTTTTTCCTGTCACTTCTATTTATCAACATATTTCTATCCCACTCACCACCCTTGGCCAGTTGCATAAACCTGCTGCTACTCTAGGCAGATTTCAGGATCTTCTTTGGTTGGTTGGGTAATGGTGGTGGGAGGGTTCAAAGGTGGAGCAAGTAAAAGCATGTGTGGGCTTCTTAAGAAGCCCTCAAGTCTGTTTCTCATATTTTACACTCCTAATTAGCCTTTTATCTCTTTCCTTCTAACTTGAGGGAGGCTCTTGATTGGCATAGGAAGGCATGCTGGAATTATTATTATTATTATTATTTATACCCCGCCCATCTGAATATTAAAAACATGATAAAACATCAAATATTAAAAACTTCCCTAAACAGGGCTGCCTTCAGATGTCTTCTAAAAGTCAGATAGTTGTTCATTTCCTTGACATCTGATGGGAGGGCATTCCACAGGGTGCGTGCCACCACCGAGAAGGCCCTCTGCCTGGTTCCCTGTAAATGCGCTTCTCACAGGGAGGGAACCTCCAGAAGGCCCTCGGAGCTGTCCGGGCTGAACAATGGGGGTGGAGATGCTCCTTCAGGTATACTGGGCCGAGGCATAGGTTTCAGACCCCAACTGCAAATGCATATTCTCTTAGGAGGAAGATCTGTTTCTCCCCACCTGAGGCAGCACACAAAGTTCACTTTGTCATCCATGCACACAAAAGTCTGTTCTTATAGGTCAGAGGAAAAAGACTGCAGATGAACAAAAGTCTGCCTATTGTAATTATTCAGGCATATGTTTCTGGTGATTCTTGAAATGTAGCTTTATTTTTCCCTCTTGCATGATATGGTATGTCCGTTTGAATTACAGTAATTAGCCCTATGGGTGCACCTATACATATAAATGAACATATACACTTCTGTGTTGTGGGGCCTCACTTCTGCACCCATTTTGGTTGGTTCCAGAGACGTTGGAACAGGCCGGACAGTAAATTTTCCTTACCCCAGTGCAACACAAACTTATTAAAATGATAATAAAAGACACCTCTATCTTTGGGATGTCCTTTGGAGAGAGGCCAGACTTGCATACCAGACTGGTACATTGCCTATCTGGAACCAATATGGTTATGTCTCTTGTTATAAAAAGAAAACCTTGAATTGGCCTGACTTTTATCAATCCAACTTTGTAGGTTAGTTAAATAAAGAAGTTTGGTTCACATCTGAGCACAAGTATCAGTGTTGAAAATAGCATTTGCTCTGAAGACAACACATTCTTGTATAATTTAGGTTTTGATAATATGTTGCTGTAATTTCTGTCCAGATATGTTTCTTAAAAATAGCAATTGTTTGCATTTGATAGAGTTTTATTAGATGTTGCTAATTTTATTCTGTTTTCATGATAGTAGATTATGTTTAGTCAAAATATAGCAGAACTTGCGGTGTATGCATTTTTTTCATGTACTGTACAGTAGTTGAATATTTTGTGGAGTATAGTCTTGTTTTTATTTGATAACTGAGAAAGAAAATCTCATTGAAAGGAAAAAGGGATATAAATGTCTTCACCTTTCAGCATCGATCACTCTTTTGGGAGGCCCATATCACCTTACGCTTGCATCCTAGCCTTGTTGCTTCAGCTAATTCTAATTTAATTAGGGCTTCTCAGCTCTGCATCAGTAGTAAATATTTTAGATTTGTAACTTTATCTTGCATTTTAGAATGTTTCTAACCTTGTTCATCTTCTTTTCTGTAATGCTTGAATAAGTCCTACTGAGAAAAGGAAATGTATTTGGTATAAAGTTTTCCGTGTGCTGATATGAAGGAGGACTAATTGTCTCCCTTAACACTGGAGTAGTTGTAGAGGGAACTGAGATGAAAAATCTAATTGTCAGACTTGGTGTCTGCTGCATAGAACTCAGGCTCAGACTTCCCCTCTGGATGGAGCAAAATTGTCAAATCTGCAGAATGCCCCTCACCTCTGAGTGACCACAGCCAAGAGTCTACACACATTTGGGATTAATCAGGGAGAAGGGCTTTCAGGTCAGTGGTCATGGTTTGCTTGATGCTTTAAGGCTCTGCACATCTCACTGAAGACAGGAGAAACACACTTAACTTAACAGTTAATTACTGCAGGCAAGCCTGAATTACAAGAATTGCCAGTGCCAATGACTTCTTTCTCAAACCATCTTTCTGTTCTCTCCCAGTGTTATGGGAAGAGCAGTTCTGATGTCAGCCTGGGCAGCAGCCTGAGAATCTGATCCCTGGGTGGATCCAGTTGATCCAAAACCACCAGTGCCCCACCCAAAATGCCCTGTTCTGGAGTTTTCCACTGGCCACCATTAGCAAGAGAACCACTGGCAATAGCTTCATGCCTGATCAGGGGAAACGGGGGGCCGTGCCATAGCAGAGTGTCCTGGGCAGCACATTTCTCCACTGATGGAGGCCGGCAGAGTCTCTTTCTCTCTCTCTCTCTCTCTCTCTCTCTCTCTCTCTCTCACACACACACACACAGCACCACCAGCGATGGTGTGTGGGTTTCAGGATTGCACTGTTCGATTCTAATACTTCAGATATTTATTACCAAGTGTTATAGCAAAGACCAACTATTCTGTGGAATTGTTCATGTCAGGATGGTGCTCCTATTCAGATGATTACATGCAGGAGATGATAAAGGGAGCAGTGGGGAAGGGAGATACTGTTGGGGGGGGGGAATGGAATCCAGGTCCCTGTGAACTCTGATCCTCCCCCCAACTTTCAGGGACTTGATGACCAGCTACTTAGTCATTTCCTCTTAAGATGCTTCCAAAGTGTGTTACTATGTTTTATGGGGTTTTATGGTTTTGTCTGCTATTGTAATATTTTCATATCTGTATGTATCTATGCAATGTGGCATTATCTTTTTGTGAATCGCTTAGTGGCTGTTTTGATATATAAATATAAGAAATAAGTTAAAAGTAAAATAACCAGTAAAAACAATTTATAACTACTACTAATGGTAATAATAAGTAAATAATGGGACTGTGCAACTTACTTTAAACCCACTTGAAACACGCAACTGTCAAACTGTGATGACAGAGTGATCAGCAGATGCACAAATGTGTACAGATATCATTCTACGGCTACACAAATGCATCTTGTACATGAGGGCATAATCTTGTCCATGCAGAGGCCAGCTTTGTGAATTGCATTTCTAATGTAAAAGTTATGCAACGAACACAAATTTACCACTACATAGCATATAGATACATGTAGCAGGTTTAGGTTGCAGGTTCCTGCCATCAATGCACAGAATACCAATCAAACATTTGTTCTCAGTATCTTTTCTCCTGTTCGGTGGTAGATGGGAAGCAACTGATAAAGAGGATGGCTTTTAATGGAGGAAAACGCTAGAAAGGAAAGCATTAAGAAATTGTGTCCCTCCCACAACCATATGGGCCTCCTCCTCTTTTAGGTTACATCCTTCCTTTCCAGTAACTTTTTTTTTTTTTTTTTAAGAATCTAAGGGGGAAACTGCATGCAACTTGGTATTACGTGAAATTCATCCTTCTGCGGTTGGTCAGGTATGTTTTTATGCTTCTTTTGTTTAACACAGACATAAGCACATACAGTGGTGCCTCGGGTTACATACGCTTCAGGTTACATATGCTTCAGGTTACAGACTCTGATAACCCAGAAATAGTACCTCAGGTTAAGAACTTTGCTTCATGAGAACAGAAATCGTGCGGCGGTGGCATGGCGGCAGCAGGAGGCCCCATTAGCTAAAGTGGTGCTTGAGGTTAAGAACAGTTTCAGGTTAAGAACGGACCTCCAGAACGAATTAAGTACTTAACCCGAGGTACCACTGTACAGTCATACCTCGAGTTGAATGCGCTTCAGGTTGAGTGCTTTTGGGTTGCGCTCTGCGGCAACCCGGAAGTAACGGAGAACGTTACTTCCGGGTTTTGCCACTCGCACATGCCCAGACGCTCAAAATGACGTCACGCAAATGTGCGGAAGTGGCAAAACGCAACCCGCACACGTGCGCCGTCGCGTCTTACGTTCCATTCAGGATGCGAACGGGGCTCTGGAATGGATCCCATTCGCATCCCGAAGTACCACTGTACATTATTCATTGATTTATTACATGCCTATTCCATCTTTCCTTTTCAGAGTTCATGCCCAGCATACATGTTCCTCTGCCTGCCCTCACTTTATTTTCACAGTAACCCTAGATTCGATTCAAAGAAAATGAGTACCTTAAGGTCACCCAGTGAACTTCATGGCTGGCTGAGGATCTATACACAGGTCTCCCTGCATCCAGTTCAATACAGTACTCTAATGACTGTGCTACGTTGGC